GTTGTTCTGTAGTCTAGCATGTTATGCTTTTTTTTATGTGTTGTACTGTTGTCCTGTGTGTTGTTTGTTGCCCTATATGTTGTAGTCTGGCCCATATATGTTATCATCAAGTTAGTTAAATTTAATTAATATTTACTAATGTGACTGTTATGAATTATTGTTATGTTGTAAAAAGAATGTTTGTTGTTGTCTGGCTGGCAGAATGGTTGGCTGTCTTTGTGGGATTGTTGGTCATTTCATTTGGGAGGAGTGTTTTCAATTGTTGACCGGTTTGGAGGGATTGGCAATATATCTTGATATATATTATGAGGTTATTACATGAAGTGGTTTGCGGGATAATACTTAAAGTCACTTGTATCAACCAACTCTACGAATAGATGGTATCAGATAATCTTTTTATCACATGACCAACCAACTCCAATTGTCAAAACATCAGAGAAAAAATGAAACTTTATGAATGGCATGATAATTTTATGGCTGTTGATGTTCAAAATCGATAGAATGATTATTCTTCATAGCGATATTTCCAGAAATAAACTTTCAGTCAGCATTATAATGAGTTTATTGTCATTGCGATTTGTGAGTAATTGTTATCTACAAATACAAATTGTTATATTTTGTTTATATTTTCCTTTCAATACTCTAAAAATAAATCATATACACACACATACATCATTGTGTACATCATTTTATTTTATGAAAAATGTTATTGAATTTCAACAGCCCAAATTAAGATGCAACATTTTGTCTATGGCATCAGTAGACATGCTAGTTCTAAAGTGATCCATGGCTTGTTATCATTTCTGAAATATTTATATCGCAGCGATAAAAACGATACCATTGCACATTTTCTCTGTGTACTGTTCAAGCACAAACAAACTGATGATGTTTTTGCTTATCATTACATTTTATGTGAAATATCAGTTTGTGATATTTCGTACTAAACGTTACTGCTGTGAATGATGGTCATGTGTTGAATAGATATCATGATGTACCTATCAGTTGATTAAAGAGATTTCAATCAATAAAATCTTTTTGAATGTCTGATAAAACAAAGTAAAGAAAAACAGCATGGTGTTTCGGTTAAAAATGAGAGACTGAGATAGCACTGCCACTGGGTTAATTTTTTCATATTACCAGATCTGGAAAACTTGTTGTGATGATACAAATTAGATATGTGTGGAAACTTTTCTGACCTTTCTACAAACAATATTTACTACGTCATTAGCAATTTTTCTGCAAATCAGCAAATTTTGACAATCAATGGACAGTTTGTTTCAGAATGTAACTACTGTTTCCACTGACTAGCATAGCACTGACTATCACAATGACAAAACCAAGTACCTGTACACATATTACTCAATAATAATAATATTAATAAGTAGTTTGTATTTACAACCCAAACAATACCATGCTTATATAAAACACAGCAAATACAATGCATCCAAGATTTAAACAAATTGCACCCAAAGTTTACTTGTATAAGTATTGTACAAATACTATCGCCTCACCCTTGGGTTTTCATAAATAACACATTATTGGGGGTCAAACCATTCTGTAAGAAAACGAAGACAATTTTGGTTGTTTACTGATGTGAACATTTCAGTATAAAGTAGAATATTTGTTTATTACTGCTACCACTTACAGGTAGAAAAGACAAAGCAAGGTCAAGATAGATTAGCTATGCAGGTAATGTATTTATACTATGGCATTGGGCATCAGTGGTTGCTTACTCTATTCAGTTAGCCTAGGGATATGTTCATGCATGGCGATGTCATTCTGGTTTCAATTTCTGTTATTGCCATCCATGATGTCACCAGGGAATGTTTATTTGCACGGCAGGTTTACTATCTTTGTTTAGTCAATATATGATTTGTTAATATGTCTTCTTTCTATTTTTTTTGTGTTATATGTCATCCTTTGTTTATATGCTGTTTATTTTGTATTTGCTTAATGCATGTATTATGTTAATTTTGTGTGAAGGATGGACACGGCTAACTAGTACAAATTCAGAACATCAAAAAGCACTATAAATTCTTGATGTTTTTCTGAGCAAAATGTTCTATCAAATGTATGAAAAAGAGTGAGTACAGAAATAGTTATTTTTCCCCGTAGTGTGTTAAGTCCTACTTTGGTTGTCATTCTGGTAAAAAGTACATACAAACTGAGCTTGATATTTTGAAAAAAAAAACTGTTTTGTGTACTCCAAATTTTTCTTTTTGAATATTCAAATATATAGGTGAACTTGGCAAAATTGCTGGAAATACTTGTGACAAAAGTGATTACCCCCCGGTACCCCTGGTAGCTGTGTTCATCCAGTTTAATACAGACTGAATGCGTGATCAGTGTATGTATTGCTAGGCTGGGCATGATGATTTCTTATATTATTGACAACAGAATGCGTTCATAAAATGAATTATTTTTAAATATGGGTATTGTATCTTATATGTACTGGTAATAAGATTTCAAAACTTTGTTTATTTTCTTATAAACATCAACCACTACAGAAATGAATATTCATTTGTTAATGTGAATATATTCAAGTGGTGCTTGTATATATATAAATATATTTATATATAGTTCATTCGTGTTAGTGTTTCATCTTTTTTGTATATTTGGTATTTGTATGTAGCTAAGAATGCCATGTAGGTACTAGCAGCACGGTCTGTGTTTCACTTTTAAGCTCACTCTGAAATCACAGTTTTCCTAAATTAACTGTAATGATCAGTCATACAGAAGTATGTACAGCTTGAAGGAAATCCACACGAAGCAGCTGATATTGTAGAAGTTTCGATCTTATCGTTTTTTCTAGATGAAATATAATATTAATTAGCAAGGACTCATTGTTTTAGAATGTGACTATTCTCCACGTTTGGAAAATATGTCGACATAATTTCAGACAATAGAGATTTACTGTTTACATGAGAAAAAGACATTTTATAAATTATGCCTTTACAATACTGTAAAAGGATTAATTATTAGCATAGAACACATTATCTAAATGATAAAACAGTGAATTTAAAACCCACTGAATATGCCTGAAATGCTAAATCAGCGAAATTTAAACCCAGTGAAAATTAGTCATTTTACAGTAGATTGTGAACAGAGCTTATAATTACATGCAATGAATTATTATTGTGTTGTGCACTTTGTCAAATCAATATATCTATGACACTAATTGCCGCTGAGATCTTGTTGAGTAAGATGACTGGAAGCTTGTTTTTGTTTGTTTTTCTAGTATAAATATTAATATAAATCTTCATTATATTCTCTCTCATCATTTGTACACTGTTCTGAATACCATGGTCACATAGATCAATGGAACAGTTGACATGGTGACAAGAGGGAACTAATTCTTGGGGCTTCTTTGATTTCAACAAGATCTTGGCAGACATTTAATCTAATGTGTGTTGTATCCAAGATACAAGCCATTACAGCTATCTATGACAAGAAAACATGAAGGAAATGACTATTTTTACTTGGCATTGTGAGTGATGGTAAAATTATAAATTTCATTTATTCATGCCATGGTACTATCAATGGTATGACCCTTATTTTGATTGGCTAAAGTTGCTGTCAGAGTTAGGCTGTGGTAATATAAATCACACATGAAGGGAGATAATTAAAGTTCTTACTAACACCACTGTTTTTTTAATTTCACATTTATAGGTCTTCTCTCTGATTTGTTTTCTATTTTACCTTCCTTTTGTATTACCATTTGTTGTGTTTATTTTCCAATAGGCAATGCATTCATAGTTTTGTTATGTTTCAATCTCATACTTGTTTTTCTATTACAGGGGATTAATTTTAAGGAATTTAAAGACTTTTTTCAGTTTCTTAATACACTTGATGATTTCAGCATTGCCATGAGAATGTATACTATAGCAAACCAACCCATATCACAAAGTAAGTGCTGATATTTTCTGACATGGTTAAATGAAATGGGCCCTGAAAATAGTGTACAGCAATTATAGATACATTGAGCGGTGACGAAAATTCACACTTGTATTTCGGCAGGTTTATTCGTGTAATTCGCACTGTATGTCTGGTTGCATTTTGAGGGTCACGAACCAACTACTCCAGACGTTGTTTGCACAATTCTGTAAAGTTATTTTTTTCATGTTTCTCTTTTGAACCTTAAAATACCTGATGGTCATAATTTTCTTAATTACGCATTATGTTCGTAATACAAAATAATATTTTTGCCGATTTCAGTTGCTAGAAGGATTTAAGCTTACTCTCTGTTATTCACGTTTGGGGCCTACTTCTAAACACAAACAAATTTGGTATATCAGGTATTTTATAACAGCTTACATAAATTAAAACTACCTCACATCCAATAACAATCCTTTGCAATCATGACACAATGGTGAAATATAATATATATATACCCCGGTATATATATTATGATACGTGTCAATAATTATAGTTATAATTGCTACAAGAAAGTATATGCATTAATTTGGTAGGAAATAAAATTCTCTGAAAAATTAAGCTAATTTGATATAAAATGAATAAGTTTGGATACTGTTCAATATATATTTTGGTTACAGGATTATATAAGGTTTGAAAAGTAAATCATTCTCTGCTGTACTGGATTGTTCCGAGTACCGGTAGTCATACAAATCAATAGACATCTTCCTGGACATGTTGCAGTGTTATTTATCATCAATTATCACCCTTAGCCCTTCGTCTGCTGGTGCGAGCTGTTTTTCATTTTGACTATCCTAATTATTAAACATAATTTAATTATCCAATCTATTCACAGGTGAGTTTCAAAGAGCTGTTAAAATTTCCACCGGTCACGACATAGCACCACATGTAGTGAACACAGTCTTTCAAATATTTGATAAAGATGGTAAGTCTATTGTTTGTTGAGGTTGTGATTGTATGTCATTTGTGATGATTACAAAACTTTCTGTATACCAAGAATAATACTTTTATCTTATCATGGTCAACAGTATACTTTATCCACAAGTACTATAATCAAACTTCAATCAATATTTTCAGCTGTGTGCTTTGTCTGCGATTGTGTCTCCCTAAACCTGTCCGTTTTAAGACTATCTAAGTGACATTAATACTTTGTTTTATTATAGGTGATGGTAAACTTAGTTATAAAGAGTTCATTGGAGTAATGAAAGACAGAGTAAACAGAGGATTCAGAGTGAGTACATGCCTCATCTTCCAAAATAAAAAATGCTATTACAGTAATTAATTTTCACTGATATGTTGAGCATATTCACTGAGTTACAACTTCATGAATTTTCCACTAAAACAATTAGGTCTATTTCTGGGGAATTTTAATTTAGCAAATTTCATTTATTCAGAAAAAATAAAACCAAGTGAATAAATAAAGCAAAATTTATCAGTCATGCTTTTGCAATAGACAAGTTTCAGTTTCTCTGGTTGCTACATTACTGAACGTGTACAGTGTTTATTTTGTGATTGAAGAGGGATTGATTTTGTTAATCTAAGCTGTTTTCACAAGTTTAATAGATTTTCTCGATGGTTTCCCATCAGCGATGTACCAATATGTTACAAGTTTCTATTCTATCTTTCTTTATTAGTGTGAGGAGGTGTCTTTGGATAATGTGCAGACATGATTAGTTTTGGGGCTATGCCTGTGCAGATTTAGTAGCTAATTTACATATTAATTTTCTCATTTCAGTCTGCGTAAGCAAAATCTCAAAAGCTTCTGACTGGATTTTGATCAAATTTAATACATATGTACCTTGGGGTAATGTGCAGACATGATTAGTTTTGGAGCCATGCCTGTGCAGATTTAGTAGCTAATTTACATATTAATTTTCTCATTTCAGTCTGCGTAAGCAAAATCTCAAAAACTTCTGACTGGATTTTGATCAAATTTAATACATATGTACCTTGGGGTAATGTGCTAACATTAGTTTGGGGGCCATGTCCAAGCTCAAAAAATAATAATAAAAATACACCACAAGTAAACATATTACACAACATATTTGACAATTATCTAATAATACATTGTGTGCACCATATTAGAAACACATTTCTAATAAAAGTGCACATGAACCTAAAATTGCACACATTAAAATATGCCTTATTTTGACTCGTGGAAATGCATTGTACATCTGTTAATATATGTACTACTAGTGTAACAATATATTGATACATGTGTTCAACTTCTTACACCATAATTCTTATTTTGTCTTGCAGTACCATTTGATGAAATATGAAGGATGGGAAGGATTTAAATCCTGTGTGAAGCATGAAATGAAAGCCTCTGCATAATATCACTATGTACATTCTGTAATCATTTATTTATTACATTTTTATTGTATTACATTGAAAGCAATTTGTCAGAATTATTTGCACTTGTGACTAATTGCTACTTATTGTAATATGTCTTGTTCAGCTCAATATTATAAACTACTTGTTAACTCTTGTCAGAAAGTTTTTTTTTGTAAATGACAATTATTTTTAGTTTTGATGACATTCTGGTTGCCATTTTTTTCACTAAAATCACAAATTCTAATATGTCATCAACCATATCCAATGGTATGCAAGGTTTAGACTTGGGCAGTAATAATGCCAACACAGTGTTGTATACATACATATTGTGTGTTCACATGCATGAAAGATGTGTTATCACAATCAAGTGTACCAGAAAGAAACATACGTGCATGTATGTATGTAATGTTAGGAATTACAAAGGATTTATAACTTTTATATCCATGTATGGTCAAATAAGTCGAAATAACTTGTTCTCACCAATGACATCCCAGAATGCAATGGACTGACCAATGGAATCACAGAATGCAATACTGGACTGACCAATCACATCACAGAATGCAATGCCAGTCATTCCAATGGAATCACATAATGCATTGGACTGACCAATGATATTGTGAAAAACAATGGACTAACCAATGGCATCGCAGAATTTGTGAATATCTCATGATTCATACAACTAAGTTAGAATCTTCATCACATATAACATCAGTTGCATAACTTTATCTTATAAAACTTTAATATTATATTCACATGTAATTTTTTTCGGCTGGACCATTTTCTATTTACCTTTTGTACATGTATTTTAGAAGTTATTAAGGTCACTGTGTACCTGGTATATAATGCTATATCATATGTCACAAATAAATCTATACTACCATTGCGAAATTTTTTATGCAATTAGCATATTTTGAAATAGGAATGAGTCCCTCCAAGTCAAATCAAAGCCATTTAATGTTAAACATATTATAATTGGTTCAGCCTTATTGGTTTGTTATACCACACATGTACATAACTTTAGGTAACCTTTTCACCACCAGACTTTCTCCCCTAAATTCTTCTGCACTTTTTTCTTATATTTTTCAATATTTCTGGAAATGAACCCTAATTTTGGAGCCAACAGACAAAATTTGAGTCAATTTTCAGTTTGTACTAAAAAAAAAATTGGTTATTTTTGTCTCGATCTTCTGAAAGAAAGTGCAGACTACAAATGGGAGTATTTTGTAAATTTGTGATGAAAAGAAGGAACTGGTAGTTAAAAGGTTAAGCACTATGGTCAGCTTTTGTCATCTATCAGAAATTAAACCTGCATCATTTGATCAAGGTTGGGAGCTAATAGATATTACTTAAAAAAGAAATTATTGAAAAATACATAAAAATGTAGCACTAAAATTTTGGCAGAAAAAATTGTGGCATTTAAAAAGATTATTAAATGCAATTGTAACTACTAAGAGTATACATGTATGTCCTACTGTTGGCCATACTATGGTGAAATGACATCTGCTATCGGAATTAATGGATATAAATATAGATTGTGTAATGCCATCTTTGAGTTACTTTTTACTAGTGTGCTAGCAATTTCACAGTTTAATACACCACAGAGGTGTTACACTAATGTATATGCAAAACTTGAATTGTATTGATAATTTCAAATATCATTTTATAAATTGGGTGCAATAAGTAAATAAAACAAGAAGTGATTTAACTGTGTTATTCTTGTATTATTCTTATGAATTTACCTCTGTGCGTGCATGTGTCCCCACCTGTTTATCTCAGACATGCCTCCGTCGATCACATTCAAACTTCACACATATATATCTTGGGATACATATGGATGTCAATTCATTTCATGATCTGATGAGATGGCTGAATGACGGCCATGTTAAAAAAAATTCAAAATCAAACTAGTGAACGTAACACTGGGCTTGTATTTGAATACATTACAATCCATATTGTTCGTTTTCTAATGATATCTAAA